GATAGATAGATAGATAGATAGATAGATAGATAGATAGATAGATAGATAGATGGAGAGAGAGGGAGAAAGAGAGAGATGATAGAAAATAGATAGATAGATAGATAGATAGATAGATAGAGAGGGAGAGAGGGAGAGAGGGAGAGAGGGAGAGAGAGAGATGATAGAAGATAGACAGACAGATAGATAGATATGATAGGAGAGAGAATGAGAGATGGATGCATGGATGGATGGATGATAGGAGAGAAAGAGATGACTGATAGAGAAGATAGATAGATAGACAGACAGACAGACACATATATGTTTTGCCTTTAGCTACGAAAATGCGTGGACACCTACGAGCGCCTCTTCATCTTTTCCGTCGCCAACATGAGAAACAACAAACTGAAGGACATTCGCAGCGCCTGGAAACACAGCCGGTGAGTGGGTCTCCGGCCCTCCCTGGCAGGCACTGCTTGCAGAAGCGGAGAACCCCCCCCCCCAGGGTAACCGGACCCTTACCTATATTTCTGTTAAGTTCTCCAGGATGCATAAGAGTTCTTTATACCAATTCAAGGCTTTAAGTCACTTGCTTCTGCTTAAACAGGGAAAGCAGAAATTGGAGAGGGTGCTCCCTTGGAGGAATTAATGCCCGAGCCTTTGAAACGCACTAGGTCTGTTTTTCTTCCAGGATATTTTTTGGGAAAAACAAGGTGATGATGGTGGCGCTAGGTCACGGCCCGTCCGATGAATACAAAGAGAATTTGCACAAGGTAAAGCACCTGGCATTAAAAGCGGCCTCGTTTGCCTGCATGTGTCAAACACAGACCCTCCAGGAAGCCCCCCTCAGCTGAGGCACCCCCAGACCTCAGCTCCCAGAATCCGGAAGTCCCCCACCCGGGGAAGGCCACTGCAGTGCCCGGTCCTCCTTTCTCCCTTTAGGTCAGCAAGCATCTGCGGGGAGAAGTCGGCCTCCTTTTCACTAATCGCACCAAGGATGAAGTTATAAAGTAAGTGTTTCCAAAAGCAGCAGGGAACGCCTGAGGATTTCAGCCAGGGAAGAAAAACTGGGTTTTTTAGATTGTGGAACATCCATTAAGCCTGTGCCTGTGACGGCTCAGTGGAAGCTTTTTGAGAAAGATTCTACGCCGGCATCCAGACCGTCACCCTCCCAACCAGCCTGTGGGCTTCCCCATAGTGCTTTTTAGCCCCAAGACAAATAGGGCAAACAGCAGTTTGATCCTGCGTTACGCCTTTTCTGCTTTCAGAAGCAAAATAAAACTTCTATATGGGGGAGCAGGTTGACTGATAAAAAGCAGACTAGGAAATGGTTTGATGGATTGCTTCTGGACTCTGGAGAGCCGTCAAGATTTGCACTGTAGATCAGCCCAAGTGGCCGCATGCGAGCGATACCCCCGAGTTCCACTTCTTTGCCAAAACTTTTGGCTTGTTAACGGAAAAGTGGGGCCAAAAAGAGAGATTAGAGCCTGCGCTATTGTTGAGTTTTAAAATTAGTTGCACCGTATCCTGTTTTAGCAGCCTGCACATACCACCCTTTTAGCCAGTGTTGTCCAAACTTGGCCACTTTAAGATGAGTGGACTTCAACTCCCAGAATTC